GTTCGAGGCCAGCCTGGGCTACCAAGTGAGTTCCAGGAAAGGCGCAAAGCTACACAGAGAAACCCTGTCTCGAAAAACCAAAAAAAAAAAAGTTATACACACTCTCACACACACACACACACACACACACACACACACACACACACACACACACACATCTCAGGGCTGGTGAGATGGTTCAGCAGGTAAAGGTGATTGCTTAGCCAGCCTGATGGACCTAAGTTTAATTCCTGGATCCCATATAAAGGTGGATAAGGAGAATTAATTCCACAATGTTGTCCTCTGACCTCCACATTCTTACTGTGGCATGTTTCTCCACATACATCATGTACACACACAATAATAATAATAATAATAATGTCCTTTTTTTGTTTTGTTTTTAAGAGAAGACTTGGGCATGGTAATGCATGCCTTTAATCACAGCACTAGGGTGGCAGAGGCAGGGGGTGTCTCTGTGAGTTTGAGGTGAGCCTGGTATACATAGCAAGTTTGAGGCCAGCCCAAGCCACATAGTAAATCTCTGTCCAAAAAAAAAAGTACTGGGGCTTGGGATGTAGCTCAGTTGATAGACCATGTACAAAGCCCTTGGTTTGATCCCTAGCATCTAAGAAAAAACAGGAATGGTACTGTGTTCCTCTAGGAAGTTGTGACAGGAAGATCAGTCAGAAACTCAAGGTCATCCTCAGCCACATAGCAATTTCAAGACCAGCATGAGTGGCACGAGACTGTGTCCTAAGAAACAATAACAACAAAAAAGGATAAGCCAAAGATTGGGGGAGGGGGTGGAGCCATTGGTGTAACTCAGGGGGCAAACTTAATGGGTAAAAGTGTTTGCTCCAAGCCTGACAACTTCTGGGTTTTGTTGTTGTTTGGTTTGGGTTTTGTTTTTGTTTTTGTTTTTTTTTGTTGTTGTTGTTTATTTATTTAGATACAGGGTTTCACTGTGTAACCCTGGCTATCCTTGAACTTTCTCTATAGATCAGGCTAGCCTGGAACTCACAGACAGCAGCCTGCCTCCGCCTCCTGAGTCCTGGGATTAAA